CTGAACCCCCCCCCCAATAAAAAAAAAAAAACAACAAAACCTTGAAGCAGTCTTCTTCCAGCATGGAGGACAGGCAGAGCCCTGGGGACTTGAGGGGACCCAGTTCATGGCCTCATTCTTTTCTAGCACACATCCCACCCAGGGCAGCCTGGAGCAGCACCTGTTTTTCCCAGGGCTGCTCCACATCTTGGGGTGAGGAGGTACTGGGGAGCCCTGAATGGGCTTCCCTAGGAAGGCTGAGGGGAAAGGGTCCCTTAATTTGTTACATTTTCAAACAGACTGGCCAGAACTGGAGGTGACTAGAAAGGCAAGAAAGGAGTAGTTGGCATAGTACCAGAAGCATGGTGACCCTTCCTCCCCGGAGCCGGGACTCAGGGCAGTAGTGACCGTGGACATCTTTCATTCCCGCTCAGGTAGCAAGGGAATGCATTAGGGAGCATGATTCTCAAAGAGCAAATCAGTCTTAGGCTAACGCTATTGGTATTGGCTCTGGTCAGTCCTCCCCTCCCCCTTTTTTCTTATTATTTCCCCATCCCAATTGGGTCAACATTTATGTTTATTTTCTTTTTGATGGATCATGTCAAGAGTCAAAGTGCCACTAGTTCTGTTTAGAAGCGCTTTGCATGGAGAGCTTACTAGGACAGGAAAGCGGGCTGATGGAAGAGGAGGGGAAATGATACGTGGGTTAGCCCAACTTGCTTTTAGAGCAAGAAAAAAAATGTGTACATGAGCATGTGTGTATGTGGAGACACAAAAGTGAGTGTATCTGAACGAAGGGGGTCTTCAATGGAGCCTAAAATGGTATTTTGGAACAGGAAGTTCCCCCAGAGCAACTGCATATTTAAATGACAGTGGCAGCCTGGCGGGGAGTGGGGGGATGGGGAGTGGGGTGAAGAAACCCCACTACCTGATTGGGGTGGGGGGTGCGGCGAGAAGCAGCATTTTTTTTTTCCTAAGGAAAAAGTCATGTTGTCCCTGGACGTTATTAACCGTCCAGTTTGAAGTATACATTTTTTCCTTTAAAGAAAAGGGAGTGATTACCAGTTATACATTAAGAAATGTCATTCAGTCATTTTTATTCATTCTCCGGAAATCTTCGTAAAAGCCTGAATCATACTTCTACAAGCAGCAATTTTGTTAATCCAGGGGGTTATTACTCTGGGCCCTTATTAGGTTCTACACCACTGCCAAGCAATCCTATAACCCTCTCAAAAGAAGTTTACCTCCCTGTTATAAAACCAGTAGTGGTATTTATACTGTGCAATAATTAGTGTATTACTTGAATCCACTAACACGTTCATTTTATCTCTGCACAAAACCTCTAGTCTGCTTATAGAAAGCTTGTGCCTCCTTTGGTGCTGTTAAAGTGGTGAAAGAGTGAATTGAAGGCTGGTTGCACTTTCTCCTTTTGCCTCGCCTTAATTCCCATCTCTTTTTGCTCTCATCCAATTAGCACAGTGTATTAAGCGGTTTATCATCTCATAGTCAGCTATTGAGAGAAACAAGGCGAGCACTTTGCAATAGAACCTGCGCTCCTTTGACACCCTCAGGTACTTACATATTCCACTGCGCTATGAATAATAGAGGAAGAATGGAGCGCTAATTCCCTCATCAAAGAATGCCTTGTCTGCTGCTTTGCTCAACAACACCATTCTGATCAAAAGAAAAGCAATAAAGCTTAGCATAACAAAACGAAACCTACTTATTAGCTTAGTGGTTAAATTAATGCAGAGCCGCTGCTATTCAAAACCAAGGTTTGAAAACAGCCTCCAACAACCTGATAATGCTGCCTTCGGATGAAGGAATTTTAATCTGAAATTTGAGGCTGGCTCAGATGAGTTAATCTATTAAATTGCTATAAGGAAGCTCCACCACAAACTGTTCAATTAAGAAATATTTAGGTGTCTGTGTGTGTGTGTGAGAGAGAGAGAGAGAGAGAGAGAGAAAGAGAGAGGGGGGTACACAGACAGGTTTAAGTGTTTGAGTTTTAAGTTTGGGTTGAGAACATCAAACAGCACTGATTTGAGGAGTTGAGAATCCATACAAGAGAATCTGGGGCTTGATGTTTTTCATCGCCCCCCCCCCTCCCATAGATAGTTTCCTTGTCTTTGCATCTTTTTGTGCAACTCATTTAAAGTGATGTGTTTCAGAGAAGTCTCAAGGTGCATTAATGTGTGTGTTGGTGATACAAGATTTGGTATGGGATGGTGGTGAAGGGCAAATTTTTGGGCGAGCATACTCTATAGATTTTCAACTTCTGGTCTCCCTTATCCACATTCATATGGAGTTGAGGGTTAGCAAAGTGCCCAAGGTAAGCTTGTGTGCAAGGTTTGGCTAATGAGTCAGACCCAAGTCCTTAAATTAATTTTGGAGGCACAAGGCCCTGAGCAGAGCAGTGCTTTTTTAGTGTATCATTTCCCAACTGGTTCATGCAAGTTTAGCCCAGAGTAGTCCAGCCCCTATAGTGTCTAATGTGTGTTTTTTTTTTTAAATCAGTTGCCAAGAATGGTTTAGAAATCAAGAGGCTTTATGGAATATTTGGATTCCTGGCTTCTCTTGAAAAACTGGATCATGTGACCACACTAGGCCCAGTCCCTCTCAGCATCCCTGCCGCCCCCTTTGGATAGACTCTGCCACTCTCTAGCCAGAATCTAGTAGAGAGCTGTCACTCTCTCATTGTGAATCTAGCCAGAGAGCCTGCGTGGGCATGTTGGTTAGATGGCATTTCCATACCAGCTCTATTCAGTGTGTCATCAAGCAAGGCCCATCAAGGAGTGATGGGCCTTTTCCTCAGAGAAAAGTGAGTAGGTGATATTCCAGTCTTCCAACACAGACTCACTGGAATCCTTACTCCAAGTTGGCTTCATTTGTCTCTAAAATTCTGGCATCCTTAGGTATCCAGTTACAACCTGAAGTTACTTCCTAGTAAGAAAATATCAACTAGCACAACTACTATGTTCTCTTTTTTTCTGGAACCATCTTTAGAGATGTATGATCTTCTATAGACTCACCATAGCCATAGTTCTGCCCTCATGGTTACTACAATCCAGAGGTCAATAAAGACTAAGCCAGTGAGATACTCGTTTTTTTCCCCAGAGTTTCTTGATGATCAAGTTGAACATAATTCTGTTCATGGTAGATATAACTGCAGCTCCAGGAGAGTGAAGAAAACCTGGCCCCTCTTCAGAAAGCTAAGTGGAGGCATGGACTGTGGAAACACCTTAGGAAACCATCTCTACTGCCTTATATGATAGTGATTAGCACAAGAGTTGACTACATGGATTCCTTAGTTTCCCGATGTTGGCTCTAAATCGTTTCTACTGGGAACCTAAGTGTGAGCAGACAGAGGAGTGGGGCGAGAGGCTGAGGGACAAGGAGAGAGAGAGAGAGAAGAGGGAAGAAAAAGCAGAGCCAGATAAAAGGTAGTTTCATTCCCATTTGCTTAACAAGTGTTCCTTCTCTAGGCGAATCCATGACAAGTGCCTCTCTCCCAGAACCCATCAGCTTTGCTTTTTATTATTACTCATATATTTTGTCTGCTGGTCCTGGGGCTTGAATTCAGGATTTGGCTGCTGCCACTGAGCTATTGTGCCCAAGACTAGTGCTCTACCACTTGAACCAAAGCTCCACTTTTGGCTTCTTGGTGATTCATTGGAGATAAGAGTCTCATAGAGTTTCTTGCCCAGGTTGGTTTTGAATCATGATCCTCCAGCACCAGGAGCTTTTCTTTCTTTCTTTTCTATTTTTTTTTGGGGGGGGCCCCGATCAGTCATGGGGCCTGAACTCTGGGCCTGGGCGCTGTCCCTCAGCTCTTCAGCTCAAGGCTAGCACTCTACCACTTGAGCCACAGCGCCACTTCTGTTTTTTTTCTGTTTATGTGGTGCTGAGGAATGGAACCCAGGGCCTCATGCACGCAAGGCAAGCACTCTACCACTGAGCCACCTCCCCAGCCCCCTTCCTTCCTCTCTCTTCTTTCTTTCCTCTCTCTCTCTTTTTTTTGGGTCTGGTCATGGGGCCTGAACTCTTGGCCTGGGCACTGTCCCTCAGCTCTTCAGCTCAAGGCTAGCGCTCTACCACTGAGCCACCTTCCCAGCCCTCTCTTTTTTTTTGTCGGTCGTGGGGCTTGAACTCTGGGCCTGGGCGCTGTCCCTCAGCTCTTCAGCTCAAGGTGAGCGCTCTACCACTTGAGCCACAGTGCCACTTCCAGTTTTCTGGTGGTTTATTGGAGATAGGAGTCTCACGGTCTCTCCTGCCCGGGCTGGCTTTGAACCGCGATCCTCACATCTCAGCCTCCTGAGTAGCTAGGATTACAGGCGTGAGCCACCAGCGCCCGGCTTCTCTCTCTCTCTTTTAATGACAACTTTGAGCTCCTGGCTTGGCTAGCTTTGGTTGTCCAAGCACATCAGAAACTATACCTCAATTCTTTTTTGGGTGCTGGTGATCAACACACATGCAATAGTCTACCAAGGACCCACAGCCTAGCCTTTCTCATACCTAATCTTTTAAGGATGCAAAAGTCCACGGAAATTCTCAATACTGCTCAGGACACTCCAGCATCTGGCTGAGCATCTTTGATTCTGGGGGTGATAAAAGAAAGTGGATTCAGGGGTGATAAAAGAAAGTGGATTCAGGTTTGGGAAGGGGATTGTTTTCGGCCAAACTTTACTCATTTTTGTGCTTCTAGTCACCTGCATTGGATAAGAATTCACCACAACTGGTTTCCTTTTGGAAAACTTTATTCTTAGGTAAAAAGCATGGCATGTTTATCTCCTAAAAAATTCACACAGGTAACTTTTGCGTGTGCCGGTCCTGGGGCTTGAACTCAGGGCCTAGGTACTTGTCCCTGAGCTTTTTTGCTCAAGGCTAGTGCTCTACCATTTGAGGCTCAGTTCACTTTTGGCTTTTTGGCAACTGGAGGCAAGAGTCTCATGGACTTTCTTGCCCAGGCAGGCTTTGAACCATTAGCCTCAGATTTCAGCCTTCTGAGTAATTAGGATGACAGACGTGAGCTACTGGTGCCCGGCAAAGGCAATTAAAAAAAAAAAAAAACCAGCATAGTTGGGGAAATATATGTTGAAGTATGTTTTACCACGTGCAAAGTGGTCATTGCGAAGAAATGAAAAAAAAAATAGCGCTCCCCCACCTCCATTTACTGGAACACAACATGGTGAACCTTAGTCCAACCTTTCCATTTTTCTTATGGAATGGTAGGACATCAAGGTGTTTAAAATGTGCTTTCCTGTTATATAAACTCTTACCTTTCTATTTAAAGGGAAAAAAGAGAAAATGTGAGTATAAAATGTGTGTGTGTGTGTGTGTGTGTGTGTGTGTGAGTGTGTATTGGGACTAGAGCAAGTGATTAATTAAACACACTTGCTGCTTAATCTGTTTAGAGTCCAAAGATTCTCAAACTAGCCCCCCAGCTCCCCACTTACATGAAAGATAAGACTGAAAAGAATAGCTGTGTGGCAGAAGTGGCTGAGGAAACATCTGGATTTGGACTGGGTTTAATTGACATGTGCGAAGGCAAGGTGTCAGGCTCTATGAACTTCTCTTTTTGGGGATATGTCTAAAAAACCCTAAGCCCAAACCCAGGGCCCTTTTATCTTCTAGCCACTCGCAATTCAAGAAGCAATTTCCCTCTCCCAGAGACCCAGTGCTCAATGTTACGTCTTCAGGAACTCGGGCAAGGGTGCAGCAGTATATTGCAATATGAAGACTGTTGGCATTTTCTTTGATGCTTGATACATATTTCTGTTGTCCCTCTCCCAGTTCACATCAACTAGATAGAATGGCAGGGGGAAGCATGGTCATGGAGAAGCAGTTTGGCACTTTGGCAGCTGGGGTTGTGCAGCTGGTCCTCCTTGATTGTTCCTCGATCCTCTTTAGGATCTCATAGCACAATCGGCAAAGAGTTTGCTGAGGTTCACTTCGGAGTAGCCACTCCTTGTCAAGAACTGCTCCACTGTGTTCTTGAGTTTTCTGTAGTCCTCATAAACTTTTGGAGGGAAAAACTGCTTCTTCAATTTGTCTAAAATTGAAACAAAAAGAAACGGATTAGTAGTCTCAGTTTTATAGACCAGTCAGTATTCCCCCAGCATTAGAGAAAGAGTACACGCTCTGTCTGTAGCTCCATGTCCCAGAGGTCCTCATGGTCCTATCTGGGGCCAGTCTGATGCCAGGCGTCCCTTGAGATTCCTCATAACAGCCCATATCTTCTCAGCACTGGGTGGGTGCATGGGCCAGGCCACCTTCTACTGATGCGAACTGCAGGTGCATGCCCATATGCTGCTCCTAGATGCCACTTCTGCCGCACCGTCTACCATACGTGTGCACGCTGGGTGACATCTGGAGGTGGTTAGAAATGCCTGCTTTCAAAGAAGCCTCCACAGTGCCTGGCAGCCCACACTCTGCAGGTCAGCTGCACTCAAGTCAGCTTCTTCTAATTCCCTGGCTTCATCCCTCTGCTAAACAAAACCCCCTGTGCTGAAAGAGGCCAGGGGAGCAGCCTGGAGAACCTTCGGTCTGTTGCCAAGATTTCTTCTTTAGGCACCTTGTACGAACTGGGGGTATTCCCTGGTGTTCTGCTTCTTTCGCTCATTCATCCCAGGTCTTTCTTGTTGAGAAAGATCCTACCAGGCAAAAGAAAAATCCTTCCCCTGTCTTGCCAGAGCTGGCTACGTCTGCATTCTATTCTTTTAAAAGAGCAGTAGGGAGGCTATACTTAGTAGGTTGATCTTTGAGGGGCGCCAACCCTGTCCAGATGGTAGGGTGATACAGTCTTTGTTTTAAGCTGCTCAGGTACCCTGCGAGGTGTTTGAAGAGGCTAACATTTTTTAAAAATTGATTTAAATTTTTTGACAGTCCTGGGGCTTGAACTCAGGGCCTGGGCACTGTCCCTGAGCTCTTTTGTTCAAAGTTAGTGCTCTACCAGTTTGAGTCATAGTTCCACTTCTGGTTCTCTGGCGGTTACTTGAAGATCAGAGTCTTAAGGACTTTCCTGCCTGGGCTAGCTTTGAACCCTGAGCCTAAGATTTTGGCCTCCTGAGTAGCTAGGTTTACAGGTGTGAACAATCAGCACCTGTCTGAAATTAACATTTTTTTTTTATCCCCCATGTTATGGCTGAGGAAACTGGGAGGTTATGTCACTTGTCCAAGGTCACACAACAGGTCATCAGGGCTACACGGCGCACGAGCTCAGGGAGCCCAAACCCCCAAGGCTAGACCTGAAGAAGAGCCTCCCTTCTGTCCCTCCATTCCCATGCCACTGCTCCCAGACAGACACGGGCAAGTGCTAGAAATCAGCTATTCCCAAGGTGAGGGCCCCGGATGCTGCTTGCGCCAAGGAGTGAGGCTGCTTAGTACCTTGCAATAGGAAAAGATTGGGAAGGAAACATGGAAAGGAGAGCACGCCAGTCACAGAAAGCACACTGTCCAGTCCAACAACAGAGCAACACTGGAGCCCACAAAACCCCGGAAAACGAAAACTCAGCCTTCAGATTTTTGTTCCTTAGTTACACATCCACATTTGTTCACAACCTTCTCTAAATTACATGAGTGTCTTTCTTAAAACAACAACAACAACAACAACAAGAAGCAAAAGTTTCCTAGAGGATTTAAATGCCCAAAAGGGGGTGCAAAAAGAGAGGCAAGGGGGTGTGTGTGTGGGGAGCATGCATCGTTAAGAGACTATAGAAAGACAATTTGAAAGTTCTAATTATCCAAGTCTGGGAATACACAACAAAGGCCTGAGCAGTGTAGCTGCCTCCTGGCAGGCCAGAGCTGCAGGCCAGCAACCCCCGTGCATGTGAATGACACAAATGCATCTGATGACTGGGGAGAGCACATTTAAAGAGCTGCGGTAATACGGAGCAGGGGAGGAAGGGAGAGGACACAGCTCCTGATGTGTTTACCTCCTCTGCTGATGGGATATTGACTTTTCCCACCAGGTTGGTTAGAAAGGCGACTATTTACGCTGCCACACAGCAGAGTTCGAATGACAACCAGCGTCACTCCGTGCTCTTCTTCGGAAAAGACAACTGCGACGGCCGGCATATCCCATAGCCGGTCAATACGGCCCAGGCTCCATTCCACGGCGGTTAGGGATGCAGATAAAAGCTCCCGCTTGCTTCCCCAATGAGAATTTAATCAATAATGTGTAGAAAGGTCTTCTAGGAAACAGAATTGGATGAGTTGTCACCGGCCACATCAGGGGTGTGGGCTGGGAGGGCAAGAGTCATCCCTTTCTTCCTAGCTCTCTTCTTCCTCCTCCTTTAGGAACACCTAGGTCACCCATGTTAGGCATACACATGTAACTCCAATCTCATTTCTGTCAATGACACCCACCACTTACTTTAGTCAGATCTCCAGCGAAAATACACATGCTAACTGGTGAAAGTCAGTTAATGGGACCAGTAGCAGCCGGATTCCCTGCCCTGCTCTGGGTTTTGGAAGAAGCCTGGAAGGAAGCCAGACCTCTAGGAAAGCATGGTCAGCACCCAGAACAACACTGTTAGAAGATTCCAAGAGGCCACTAGACAAGTAATGGAGAAGAGCAGCGGCCATTGCCCCGGGCCCCTGTGCCACACAGACATCACGTGGCTATGGCTTGCTGCTGTTCCTGCCAGCAGCACCTAACATCTAAACTTCCAGATGGACAAGGAAATACTCTTTCTCCATACAAATGGGCCAAGGGCCTGAAGTAGCACATGGAAGCCATTCATCTAACACTACAGCAAAGCCAATCTCCGTTCCTTCCTTCCTCTGTGGCTAACCTTTGGTTCTATCTACACACTCAGATGTTTTATGGTTATACAGTAATTATCCACAACATTCCATCCCTGAACCCTAAGAAAAACAATGACAAAAAGTTAGCCTCGATAATCACTCACCAAATTTGACTAAAATGGACAACATAAACTGCTAAATTTAAAAGGTTGCTTTTCACTGATTTGAAACTAAGTGCTCAATTTCATGTGAGTTTCAATTTTTTTCTAAATGTAAGGCAAATTAGAGCATCACCTACAGGTTAACTTATTTTAAGTGTTTTAGTTAAAACTCATCTGACCAAATAAAACGGTCCATTTGAAAAACATAGGTGTACTCTCAACTGATGAATAATCTCTACTTTCCATGGTTTCAGCAACGGACAAGCTCTTTTCAGCTTTCTTCTTTATAAAACCATTTTTGGACTTAAAGAAACACACCAAACTAGAAAGCACGAGGCAGAGATATTTTAACCTCGCCTACTGGTTCTTTTATTTTAATCAAAGCAGGATTAGGCACACAGGAAGCAGCCGTCTCTGTTCTGAATGTCTGTTTCATTTATTTCCGTGCAAAGGTATCAAACAACAGTCAGTTATAATTGATTCTGTCAGGTGTTATACAGTCAGTCATAATTGTCTCTATGTAGAGGTGTGTCAATTTACTATATCTGAATTAAATATTCTGTCAATTATGAAATCAGGTAATAATTTCAGTCAGTTTTCTTTTAATTGCTTGGCTTCCCACCATGCAGTTCTAAGCTCTCCCACCTTTTCTGATCCATAGCGTCCCTCCTTCAATGCGCGTGAGCTTTGCCATCAGGGGTGGAATGCAGGAGGCTTGAGGAATTTTGACAGACAACTGGACTTCTCGGTGCTCTCTGTGATTTAGAGCCATCTGACCTACAGAGAGCGGTTGGGCTCCTGGCCTAGCTAGCTTTCTCCAGAATATCAATCCATAATGGAGGTGCAGGCAAGGCAGGTATGCAAGTGTCACTCAAGAGTTCAAAGACAAAACCATTTAGGGTCCCAAATCTGTAAACATTTTTCAGTCAAAATAAGACATTAAAAAGAAAACCCACCGGTTTTTTTTTTTTTGGCATCAGTTCTTGTTTAGAAAAAAAAAAAAACATTCACAAGGCACAGAGCCAGGCACATAGGACGTACAAGGCATTTTGTCAAGCAGCTAACGCCTACAGGAGGATCATTCTTGCCTGTTAAATCACAGCTCAGATGCTAAAATATTTCTGAGGGCTCAAGAGTCTCTCTGTTAGTCCACTATTCAGATCCATTCCTACTTATAAATAATTATCTTTGGGTTTCTTTCTTCTTCTTTTTTGTTGATACCAAAATATAGCCTTCAAACAGAATAAAATATCCATGGTTTAGCTCAAGTGCTCTACTAGTCTGATCTGACAAGTATTTAGAAGTGTGATTAGAATTCTCTCCGCCATTGGTCTGGTTCATGTTCAATAAACACAGGCTTGCTGCAGCCTGGTGGTGGTGAACAGTGACCCTTCTCACTCAAAGCAAATGGAGGTGCGGCGGAGCCCAACAACCAACAAGGGCTGGCCAGTGGAAGTTTGGGGTAGAGCAGAGGGTGACTCGAGAAGGGAGGAGACAGGGCGAGGCGGAGTAAAGAATACCATGTCTACAGTAAGAAATAGAAGAGTCATGCCCCTTACCATGTTTCAGTGGAGAAGGAGTCACCTTGAAAGAGATCAAAAATTTCCTTTCAACTGGATGAAGTGATTCTATCAGGGTTGGGTTTTGGGTGTTTGTATTTGTCATGTCGGAAGAAAATTGCCCATGCAGCCCCCTTGCTGAGGTTATAAAAAGTACTGTCAACCATACTGGACAGAATTTTTTTTTGGGGGGGGGTGCAGAGAGAGAGAAAAAAACACATTGTGCAGGATCATTAAGCACTGTTGTATAAATAAAGTTAGAAGATCAAACGAAAGAGGGGACTCGGGTTAAATGCTGGAAGACAAGCTTAAATAAAGTTCTAAGAAAAAAGCAAGGCACGCTGTAATTCCAAGAACCTATTACTTCAGACAATTTACTTCAAAAAATAAAATCAGAATGGTAAATGATTACCCAAAAGCAATCATGTCATCATCACTGAGAGATGGAATAAAATAATTTTTTTGTGAAGTGGCTGAATGAGAGCAACTTAAAAGCCACGGAGCCTGTCAGAAGCACATTATTTCTTTTTACACCCCGTTTCCCAATTCATCTCAGTGCTGCTGACTAACCTCGGCTCCCAGCA